TAACATATGGCTCACAGTCCGATGGTTTCACATTTCTTCATCAGGGGTTATGGGTTGCCGGGTTCTAGCAGCTTCTCAGTGAACAGCAATTGGGTCTGGCTGCTACGTGGTTCGCACAGAAGAACTGGGTAGTTTCTCATATGCTTCAGCAGGCGGGTTCACAAAAGTATGCATTCAATCTAGTTTGAAAAGTAGGAGAAACAAGGAAATACGTACACCTCCTTCCGAAATCGTTGGCAGGGGGAAGTCTATTTTGGCCAGTGAATAGAGACTCTTCTCTGGAGGGGATTTGGTGGATACATTGTAGCCTCAGCTGAAAACCGACTTGTGTCTCCCCCTTTCAAGGCCCAAAAGCCAGAGGACAGACACAGTTTGGATGGAGTGTGCTGCCTAAATAAACTCTGTGCAGGCATGTGATGTCAGGGGGAGTCGCTCCTGCTTACTTCATTGACATTTAATCCTCAACATATTCATACCCCTTGAACTTTTTCCACATTTTGTAAAACCCACAAACATAACAGAGCAATCTTCAATCCATCATGTTGAAACTGAGATAGTATGGCACATCTGTAAATCTACCAAGACAATTTCATCTCTCTAAACATACAGGCCAAACAAGGACAACTCTGATAAGGGATGCAGCCTAGAGACCGATGGTGACTCTGGACAAACTGCAGAGATCCACAGCTCTGTCATGATCGGTTTAAGGAATCTGACCCACATGCAGAGAAACCACTCAGAGAACACGGGGAAAGTTTAACAGGTTTATTTGATAACATGTAAACAGAGGTTGGATCTGGAACTCAGTGAACTGGTGAACCGGAACTGGAAAGTCTGAAGGGGAGATCACAGAGATAAGTTCAGGGACCATGGGAAATGAGACTGCGGCTTGAATTATGCTGGAGAGGGACTCACGTTTGGGGGGGCTCTTGTCAACCCTTGAATCCAGGCTGTGTGGGATTATCCAGAGAAGAGGGAACTTTCCGATGGGGATTTGAACGGATCATGTGGAGGTTTTCCCTTGCTCAGGGTAAACTCAGTAAATCCTTCCAGGGGGAGAAGGTCCAGGTATCCAATCTTCAAAGGAAGGCTTCCTGCCGAAGAGCAAAGACAAAACACATTAGATTCCGAGAATGAAAGCTAGGTTAGACTCTGCTAAACTCAGCTTGGCTAGAGTACCCAAAAACTGGCAAACACTCTGACGTAGTGGTAGTGACAGCCCACTGCTCAAATACTCCTCCAGTAATGAACCAAAGAGCCGCAGGTGTGCAGGGAGGCCCAACAAGGACATTGCACCACCTGGTGGTGGAGAGAGAAGAAACAAACAAACCACCCACACAAACTGGATTCCTGACAGGCTCAGGTACATGATTCTGTTCACAGGACAACTATTAGTTGTGCACTTGACAAAGGGTCTTTATGAAAGAGTGGCAAGAATAAAACAATTGTTAAAAGAAAACCATAATAAGTATAGTTTTCAGTTTGCCAGATACCATGCTGTGGACCAAGGAAACATGTGGAAGAAGGTGCTTTAGTCAGACCAGACCAAACTGAACTTTTTTGGCCAAAATGTTATAGGTGGTGGTGACGTAACACTGGAAATCACTCTAAATGTAGATGTATCAGGCTCAGTGGTGGTTCTTTTTAGCACAGACAGGGAAGATGGTCAAAGTTGATGGGAAGTTAGATGGAGTTAAATACCCGGCAATCTAGGAAAAGTACATCAACCCTAAACATCAAGCCAGGGCTACAATGTGTCATGATGTCTTTGAGTGATCGAACCCACATGCAGAAAACACACTCAAAGAGCTAGTAAAAAGTTTAACAGGTTTATTGGTGAGGATTACAATATGTAGAGAGAGATAGATTGCAGGTTTTTCTCCGTGGGGAAACCAGCGGTCTGGTGAACCGGAACCAGAAACTCTAGGAGGAAGATCACAGGATGAGTTCAAGGTCCGTTGGGAAAATGAGCTAGGCTGATGATTGGTTTAGAGTTGACTCACATAAAGTGGTTCTTGGTTAATCCCTGGGTCCAGTTTGTGGGGGAATAGTCTAGAGGTTACTGTACTTGTTAGAGGGCGGACAGGCAGACTTGAGTTGGGTCCAGAAGAGCTAAGGAGAGGACTGTCACTGGATTTTCCAAAGGTGGGCTTGAACAGGTCAGACCAAGGTTCCCCCTTGCTTAGCATAAGACGAATGTTTTCCTTCCAAGGGAGGAGAAGGACCAGGCTTATCCAGCGGATCAGAAGGGTTTCCTACCGGAGAACACAAAGGAGACAAAGGCAAAAACTTAGGCTCAGAGAGACAAAGGCAAAGAGTTAGACTCAGCTAATATCAGGAGGCTAGAGTACCAAATACTGGCAAACACTCTGGCGTCGAGGTGGTGACAGTCTGCTGCTCTTATACTCCTCTGGTAATGACCCAACAAGCTGCAGGTGAGGAGGATATAACCCGGAAGCCGCCCTCCAAGCCAGAACGGAGAAAGGGAACTATCTGGAGGTTGAGGGAGAAAACAAAAGGAAAACACAAAAACAAACCCCACAAACAGAGCCCTAACATAATGGAACATTTTAAAATAGAAAGTATTCATGTGTTAGACCTAAACCCAATAAGCAATCTGTGGCAAGAGCTAAAAATTTATGTTCACTAATGCTCTCCATCTGCACTGATGGGGTAGGAACTGTTTTATAATGAAGAAAGATCAAACATTTTAGTTACTAGATGCATAAAGCTAGTAGAGACATGCCATAAAAGACTTGAGGCGGTAATTGCAGCAAAAGGTAGTTTCACAAAGTATTGATTTAGAGGGGGCTGAATACTTTTTTATAAATATTTTTTTAAAACATGTACAACTTCAAAACATTTCAGAGTAATTATATTCTGGCCACATACTGGAGCTGGACTCCAATCAATCTACATAGACCACTTTGCTCCCACAATAATTTACGATCACAAGGCTGAGGGGTTAGGACTCCCACAGAGTAACACACTTTAGCCTACAAAAAATTGACAATAACACTCAGTGTTATCCATGGACAGCTTTTCCATAGTCATCAACAGAACCCATGAAAAGACACAACATTTAGAGAGATCCTTA